TCCTTGAGAATGAAAAAGTCTGGCCAAAATTCGTGCTGCACACACTACCCAGGATGGATTTGAATCTTCGCTAAAAAAAAGCAATGGCCATTTGTTGGTGATAGTTGTTGCAAATCTGTTGACATAGAAAGGATTAAGCTTATCGCAAACAATGTCCGTAAGCATTTCCATGACCATGACGCCAATATGCCTTGCTGTCGTCTCAATCGGCAGGCTTCTAACATCAGTCACAATATTTTTTATAGATGCCTTTCCATAGATATTCTCGTGGGAAAATGTAGTAGTAATACCAGTTTTGAGAGGAGATTCTTTACGAGTACCACGACGATTAAGAGAAGCTATGTATTTTTAAACACATAATTACTAAAAATAGTAGTTAAAAGATGTATATAAAATGCAAAACCCACGTTTATTTAATGTAGATACAAGAAAAGTTACAATTGATCGAATAACCTCTGTAGTAAAATTGTACTTTACTACTATTTTCAGAGTATCTATAAAGTTGGTTAGTAATTCCTTCGGATATACATTTGTCTTTAACGCGACCAACATTTTCTTGACAACATCTTTTAGACACAATAAATTTGTTTAGGATTTATAAACATTAGTACAAGATAATGATTTTACATGGGGCTTTACATAAATAAAAAAGGATACGCATTTTGCTTAAACGCTTAGCATTATAATGATGATTATTGCTTATATGAATAAATACTGAAAATTGTTGAAGGTGCGCTCTTTGAACACTTTCGTGAGAATGTCTCCACAGATCAAAGTCCAATATTAAAAATCGATAAGCTAGAGGATTCATAATAACTGATTCTCTATAATAAAACAAAATTAATGATTTAAACATAAATTAATATTTTCAATATTTAATCGTATTTATAAACTTACGTTTGATTGACTGGATTCAACCCTACAAAGACAAGCAATAAATTTAAAAGTTCAGGCGTTAATAGTCCATGTTTTTGCTTTAGTAAATATGCCAAAATTTCATATCCATGAATTCGTTCCATGTCTTCTGAATTTC